TTTTATTAATAATAATTTACAATTTTCTTCATTAAAGTGAATCATTTTAAAAGAAAATTAAGATGTAATATATGACTCTGGACGATCCAGGTCGGTGGCGGCCTGGTCGTCATGTGAGGGGACGCTGATGCCACAACAAACCCAATACCGACTGTCGGTAATATCGACCGCAGACCGGTATAGCAGGCTCCAGATACTGGGCTCCCAAACCGGTCGTTAATACCGGCAGATCGGTATAAAAGAGGCCGTTAAATTGAGTGGATACTGTATAGTCTAAAACACAGTCTGGCTTATATAGTGGTGCGTTTGTTTTATGGTTCACTTTCCCACTGTTCACCATTGTTCCATCATGAATTGTTGTCAACAAGTTCACCTCTCTTTTGTCTTTCCACCGAACTGACAGAATGTTATCACTTTTCCTTCTCTGACATTCACCAACTGCAATGTCGTTGTCAAACACAGGCATTTCCCTTCGTTGTGGCTTTACTATACCAACCAATCCAGTTCTATTTTCTTGCAAGAACCGAGCTAGCAAGGGACTTGTATAGTAATTATCCGTGTATAAAATGTGTCCCTTGTTCATCCACGGAGCCATGATGGTCTTCACTACACTCCCTGAGAATCCATGTTCGTCGTTACCGGGAATGTCTACATCACTAGCCGAGTACAGAATCATGTGTAACATGTATCCTGTCTCACAATCACAAAGAACAAAAAAATTTCAGGCCAAATCGGTTTCGATTTGAGGGAATGTACTGTTTGAATGGAACACGTCCCTTGAAAAGTACGAGAGATTCATCAACCACCAGCTTCTGTGCTGGTACGTAAAAATCTCTGAATTTTCCAATAACATCGTTCATGTAGTGCCTCACTCGCCACAGCCTATCATCAGGTGTTCGGTCCTGAACACTTCCAAAATGTAGAAACCTGAAGAGTATCTGAAACCTTTCTCATGACATATATTTTCCGAATAAAGGTGTTGGTATTGTATGGTCCTTGCTCCAACAGTCACTTATTGCATGTTTCTGACAGTGCTTCATCAACAAACAGAGTGCCAAAAACACATACATTTCCGCAACTGTGGTATTTTTCCAACGCTGCAGTCATGAAGATTCTGTGATTTCCCTCTCAATCAGGTAAGCAGCATGCAGGTTCGTTTGGTGTACAATGTATTCCATGAGTGGTTCATCATAGAATGCTGTAAAATATTCCATCTCAGCCATGTCCTCACCTTGATTAGGGAAAAGGTTTGTAATCCCTACATCTTTATCGTCAAAGTGAGGAATATTAGGCATAAAATCGTCACCATCACTCCACTCGAGTACACCAGGCGTCCTGCGAGATGCAGAGGAAAGACGGCGAGGAAGTGATGCATACCGGCAACCAGGAGCTGAATACCGTCTGCGAGAAGCACGGCGGCTACGTGCATGTGAGGTGGGTGCACGTGAGGTGGGTGCACGTGAGGTGGGTGCACGTGAGGTGGGTGCACGTGAGGTGGGTGCACGTGAGGTGGGTGCACATGAATACGAGGGTCTTGGTCCCTCATGTGGTGCCATGCGGTGGCGCTTGGCTGGGTGAGATGTTGCTGACGCGACAATTTCTCGCCCAGTTACACCACTGGTACCAGCCACAGGCTCAATAAAACTATGATCCGATCACTAAACCCAGAAAAGGAGTCACCTCCCTCTGACTCGTCACCCTCAAACAGAAAATATCCACAGGAACTGTGAGGTCGTGGTAGAATTGGGGTAGAAACTGGCCGAGGAGACATGGGTGAGCGTAGAGGCCTCGCCATGGCATGGCGAGCATTGTCACTCTCACTGCTGCTGCTACTATCACTCGACAACTGTGTATAATCCTCATCGTTGTCTAAATCATCAAACACACTTTCTTCACCTTCAGAGAATAATTCGTGGGCTATTTGCTCTGGGGTGAGGGATTGAGTGGTGCGTGCCCGTGAGGCATTTGACCGTGCGCTCACCATGGTGACTCTCGCTAAACCGAGGCCTCCCATGCCTTCGGTTTGTGAGCGGAATTTTTTTCAAAATGGCCGCTGTTTACTATAGCCCCTGGGCAGCGTATGGGACCACCAGCTACACCGCAGGCCATTCAAACCGTGCGCGGTACCCATAATCGTCATATGACGTGAAGCGCAGTTGACTGGTAGAACGATTTACACTTCATATGACGTGATGCACACTTTGAGGGTTAAGGGTTAACAGTGATAAATTCTTGGTACTCGGGTACAGTAAAAATGAGGACCTTAAACATAATACAGGGTCCAAAACACAATCAAATCTGCCCATAGTAGGAAAGCAACAAGTAAAGGATTTGGGAATAATGATGTCTGATGATCTAACGTTCAAGGAGTATAACCAAGCCAATATTGCGTCAGCCAGAAAAATGATAGGATGAATTATGAAAACTTTCAAATCCAGGGATCCAATCACAACAGTTGTACTATACAAATCACTTGTACTGTCCCTTTCTTGAGTATTGCTCAGTACTCACTTCCCCTTTCAAAGCAGGGGAGATTGCTGAAATGAAGGGAATACAGAGAACATATATGACATACATAGACGCGATAAAGCACCTAAATTATTGGGATCGTCTCAAAGCTCTCCAAATGTACTAACTAGAAAGGAGACGAGAGAGATATCAAATAATATACACATGGAAAATATTGCAGGGACAGGTCCCAAATCTACACAGTAGAATAACAACATACTGGAGTGAACGATATGGAATAAATGCAGAATAGAACCAGTGAAGAGCAAGGGTGCCATAGGCACAATCACAGAACACTGTATAAACATCAGAGGTCCACGATTGTTAAACATCCTCCCAGCGAGTATATGAAATATTGTTGGAACAATCGTGGACATCTTTAACCACTGCACTGCGCAACGAGCCTTGAGAAACTCGATGGGTGATGGGCAACGTGCCTCATGGATCTTATAGGCATAGCTTATCATTCAAAACTCTTGCGGCTACACGGGGTTCACATCAGCTTCCTCAGGACTCTCCTAAACAGACGTCATTTAAAAAATAATTGTGGGCAACATTCCCGGGTGTGAGAGCCTCGGTACTGAGTGAGCAACCAAGGCTGGCACACACAGCGTGAGCTAACAGCATTGTTGTTAAGCTTTTGCCCACAGTATTGCCTAAAATTTTCCAAATATATGTATCTGGAATTTTTTAGCCATGATAGTATTACAGACAAGCCTGACTGTGATCAAGACTGTACAATGTTCAGATATCAGTGATTCAATGCTGTTCAAGATGTTCACAGCATTAGCCACAGCACATTGCCATTATTACGTCCCTCTAAAATTCTTCAAACGATTTCCCATGTTCCTTTACAAAATAAATATGTGGAAAATTATTCATTTAAATGATTTAGTGACCAGGATTCTGATAACAGCCTCCAACTGCTAATAGGATTAGCAGTGGGAGGAGTACTGTTGGTGAGGGAGGGAGGGAGAGGTGGCATCAGCTGCTGGCTGGTGTGTGGCAACATGTTATTGTCTGGAATCACCATACCACCTTAGTGGTTCTCTATGGTGAACACAGATGTAAATACTTATATATAACTTGTGTATAGAGTTTAATAACAGCAAAAGGCTTACATTGGGGAGGAGCCATTAAGGTGAGAGAATGAGTGAGGCTGTCGTCTGCTGTGTGACTTGTCATGCAGCGGCCACTATGCTGTTTGGACACCATACCAGTTTATTAGTATAGTTATGGTGAATAAAAGATGTAGATACTTATATATAACATATATAATATATAGTGTAATAAATAGTTTATATAGTGTAATAACACCACAAATAGTATTGTGAGAGGAGTAATGTTGGCGAGTTAGGTGTTGAAGGAGAGAGGGAGGGTTGGCAGGGTGTGGCAGCCCACTCTTGTTTTTTGGGCTCACCATACCAACTTAGTGGTTTGCTATGGAGAGCACATATGTAGATAGGTATATACAATGTGTGTGTGTATATAGTGTAATAACAGCAAAAACACTGTTTGATTGATCGTAGAATATAATATACATGTCACATATATGAGCCCCATAATTTTGAGCAGAGCGATGTTCCACGCATTGAAGTATATAAATTCCACAACTTACACACTCTTGAATAATATTACAGCATAAAACCAGAGAAAAAACGAACGAGAAACATCAAAATAATTGTGAAATACTATATTCACGGTAACTACCGCCCCAAGGGGTAACAGGGCCTGGTGACCTCGAATGCTCCATCACTCAGCGCCCGTAATATGCTCAATTTCCAAGCTCCATCGCAGCTAAAGTACGTCACATACAATATTTTTTTTAGTTTCCTGTGATCAGAGACTGCATTTTAACAATATATGAAGATAAAATAATTTTTTGGGAAGAATTTATTTTTGGCGCACCATGGGTGTGTTGTATTTTAATGCAGAGTAATGCAGTGGTTAAGAGAATTTATACAATTTTCTCCTAGGAGTGCCAGACCAACCAGGCTGTAATGGATATGTGGGCCTGTGGTACGTTCCAAGCATTTTTGGGGAGTGGGTGTGAGCAGTGGGGAGCCGTATGACCAAGATAGCATCAGGCAGCCACCAAAGAGCAGTGGATAGCCTTCTCACCAAGATAGCTTCAGGCAGCCACCAAGGAGCAGTGGGGAGCCTTATCACCAAGATAGCTTCAGGCAGCCACCAAGGAGCAATGGGAAGCCTTCTCACCAAGATAGCTTCAGGCAGCCACCAAGGAGCAGTGGGGAGCCTTATCACCAAGATAGCTTCAGGCAGCCACCAAGGAGCAATGGGAAGCCTTCTCACCAAGATAGCTTCAGGCAGCCACCAAGGAGCAGTAGGGAGCCTTATCACCAAGATAGCTTCAGGCAGCCACCAAGGAGAAATGGGGAGCTTTCTCACCAAGCTTTCTTTCTTTCTTTAGGGAGCAAAGAGTTTCTTCCAGAAAAACTTTAATAGAAAATAAACACACCAGGATCACCTACCTGCTTCCACAATGTGATCCAAGCTGGGGAACCGTTTCTTGGCTCTTGGAGTGATCATAGTGAGGGTAAGAACGAATGACAGGTTAATGTAGCGTACAATGGTTCGACGCATGAGACGGCCCTGGCGGTCCTGGAAACAATATTAGTGACATTAAAAACTAATTGCTTTTCACCACCCTACCTTTCTCTCAATTTAATTCCTATTTTTTAGACATGCAGAGATATTCTATAAGATTCACACAACATATGGACGCATATCAATTTATTGTCCGTGTCCTTGTACAATTTTCCACTTCCCATGAGGTTGAGACACATCAGCCCAAAGAAAAAAAACCCAGCATTGAATGTAATGAAACGCCATTTTCTGGGTGAGTCTCTGAGGCTTCCCGGAGCTATCCAGGCTGATATGTATCTATTAGCTTTCTGGCATCTGTCAAAGTGCATGGAGTTCTTGCCTACTGGGGACCACAAGCCAGAACCTGGCCCCTCCCTCAGAGAGGCATGAGGAGCAATAGCCTATAGAAACCCCCATGTGATTGGGAGCATTCTATATCTGCCGGGTCTGGCACCTAGAAAGGTAGGCGCCACAAAACAAATCCCTATTCTGGTGAAAATATTGCTATAGAAAGCCGAACAAGTAGACAGAACTCCCTAACAAAAATTAGCAAATGAGCATGACGTCATCACGTTGCCACGCCGCTGTCTGCGCAACCCCCTTCCTCCTTCTCGGAAGGGGAAGCTCCAGCCCCTCGTGCCGGCGATCCAACCGGCAGTTCTTAGGCTAGATATTAAAAACATGCGAAAAACACTGCCGATCAGAGGGGAGGGATGGAGGGAGGGAGGCTGGGGAGCCTCTGAGACCCAAACCACAGAAAGGAAGGAAGGAAGGAAAGGAACCCGGGCAACCCAAAGCACATCCCTGGTCACCGAAGATGTGGCGCTAAAAGAAGGCAGAGAGCTGCAACCGGACATAACACATGATGCACCTCTGGCCTGACAAACCAAGCATCAACAACCCAAGGGCCCCTCCAGAAAATAGCAGTCTCATCATTCACCAGAAAAGGAGACGGCGGCAACTGAACAAATCTACCACCAGGACCGAAAGAGCAGGAAACCCCTGCGCCAGAGGAGAGCATGAAGCTCCCAGACCTAACCCCCAGAGGCCAATGCCAACAGGAAAAGGGCCTTAGAAAACAATCTGGAATGGAAGGAGACACTACAAACCGAGGAGGAGAGAGGAGAGAGCACCCGGTCCAAAGACCAAGATGGCTCAGGCGGCACATACGCTAGCCCAGAGGTGAAACAACACACGAAACAGCATGCAGAACGGGGCAGAAGTAACATCAATCAGAACGCAAGATAGTATGCGGCAGAAGATGACAGTCCTGGAACAACCACGAAAGGAAGGACAAGACAATCCTATCAGAGACCGAAGTACACCTACACAGTGATAGGAAAAACAGGAAGGACCGCCAGGAAACTTCATAAAGTCGCCGAGACGAAGCATGCAGGCGGGAGACCAACAACGAAGCCACCTGCACCCCAAAACAAGTGTTGATAGACTCGAGTCATAAACACCAGAGGCGAAAACTCGAGAAGAAACGCAAATCAGCCTCGTACCGGGAGGACCAATCTGCTGAAAGAGGCAGAGTTGCAGGAAGACCCTCGGGTTCGGACACCAAGCAAGCAGCACCTGAAACCAAGGCCGGGCCAGCCACCAAGAATCCAGAAGGATAAATTCCCCCTGGTAAGTCTCCAAGCAAGCCAGATAATGAACCACCAGGGAACAGTCCGAATGGAGCCGGATCATCGATCCGCGAGCGACCCGAATCCTCTGAAGCGACATCAACATAGCCGCGAACTCCCACACCATACTGTGAACCCAACCATCCCTGGCCAGCCTGGTCAGCACTGGTCACAAAGTCCCAGCCAAGAGACGACGTGTCAGTGAACACATTGAGCGAGGGCTCGTGTAGGCATAAGGCACTGAACCCCAAAAAACCCGAAGAGGAAGCAGGCGACGCAGTAACCGATGCAAAGCCCCTAGAGGCTGAACCCAGCGGTCGTGAGAGAGAGGCAGAAGGGACCTCCCCGAAGGAATTAGAACAGCCGACAAAGCCACACCCAACCTCGACAGGTAGACCATCATGGCAAAATGCAGGAACCCACACAAACTCTCGAGCAACAGCCACGTGATCTAGGAGGAGGCAGGAACGCAGGTGAAACAGAGGCGTTGGAGGAAGTGACAAAGAGCGGTCCGAGCGACGCACACATGACCCAGCCAAGACCGAACCTGAGAAGCAACCAGATGGGACTTCCACTAGTTCACCAAGAACCCAAACTCGGCGAACTGGGAAAGAACCAAATCCCTGGCAAGCAGACATGCGTACTGGATGGGAGCCCAAACCAGTCAGTCATCGAGGTAGGCCAGAACCCAAACACCTAACGGATGCTGGCGGGCCACCACGACTCGAGTAAGGGGGTGTGAAAATGCGAGGCGCCAGATTCAAGCCGAATGGAAGGCAACGAAAATGGTAACCTTGAGGAAGGACGCCCCCACAACAAAACCGAGCCAGTCCCTGAACCTCGGATGAATCGGGATGTGCCAATACGCATCCTTGAGGTCCAGTGACACCATACAAGTTTCCAGCTCCAACAGAAGATGGACCTGGGACATAGTCACTCCATGAAGTTCGTAGTGAAGTTCCCGATTTGGATTTTACGAAAAAATTGGGCTCGTAACCCAAAAAGTTCATATAGAGGGGCATTCATAAGCCGAGGTGTCACTATAAAAGCAAAAGGAAGACGTACAACAGTTTTATCCATTTTACACACAAGTACAAGCAGAAGCAAATAACCAGTGCTGAATGTACTGAAACGCCATTTTCTGGGTGAGCCCCGGAGGCTTCCTGGAGCTTATCAGGCTAATGTATGTTATATTAGACCGGGACATTAGCTAAGGAGTTCAGACCTAACCGGGGTCAGCGCCAGAACCTGGCCCCTTCAGAGAGGTTTCAGGGAGCAATGGCCCTGGAAAACCCCCTTGTGGTTGGGGTTTTCCTTATCTGCCATCGACCGGGGTTAGGCACCCAGAAAGGTAGGCATAACAAAACAAACCCCACATGGTAAAAAACTAAAACAAAAAACCGAACAGAGAGGTCGAAACTCCCTACAAACCCAAGGAAACAAGCAAACATCACACTTTACTGCTGCGCCGATCGTCCGCGCAGCCCTCTCCTCCCAGCCCTGAGAGGGGAAGGGGGGAGCCCCAGACCTCACCGCGCCGGCTGCCTAGCATCAGTTCGGAAGCTAAGATTCAACCAACGCGAAAAAAACGCCGACCGGTGAGAGGGAGGGTTGCCAGTGAACCTCCAGGGCTCACCCAGAAAATGGTATTTCATTACATTCAATGCTGGTTTTCTGTAGGGAGCCCCTACGACTCCCTGGAGCTTCATACCCAAAGAGAAGGAAAAGAAAGGGCTGACCCGGGAGGCGGCCTCCACAAACTCCGCAACGCGAAGCCGAGACAACAGGCTGCAACCTGTGACCCAAGGCAACAAGAATGCACAAGAGCAGACACGCACATAAAGAATGGGCGGCCAAGAACCTGTGCGACCCTCAAATCCTTGCGCCTGAAATGAGCCCTAGGTGTCACCAACACAGCAGCGAAAGCTGCAAACGTCCGAACAGCATGGGCGCAAGGACAGACCAGAGGCTGGAAGACTTAAAAACTCTGCGGACAACCTGGGAGACCCAAGTCTTGAAACGGAACGAGGGGAACCGGATCAACCCAAAGCGCATCCCCAGACACGGTACGCAGGTAACGGCAAAAAAGCGCAACTGGACAACACAGGACGCACCTCCGGCCGAACCAATCAAGCATCAATAACACAAGGACCCCTCCGGACAGCAGCCGTCTCGACCGTCACCAGAAAGACGGAGAAAGGCTGCAAACGTACAAACCTACCACCAGTACCAAAGAGCAGAAACCAGAACCGAAGGGGCTACCACAAACTGAGGAGAAGATAAGAGGGCACCCTGATCAAGGACCAGGACGGCTCAGGTGACGCATGAGCAGGCTGGAGGTGAAACAAAACATGAGAAAATGTATGGAACGGGGCAGATGTGACGTCCACCCCGAACGCAAGCCAGAGTGGCTCCGCCAGTGCCACACAAAATGAGGCAACACTAAGAAACATCAAATAACTGTAGTCCTGAAAACCCAAGAAAGGACAAGACAACCTGATGCAAAAGCGAAGACAACCTACGAAGAGCAAGAAAAAGGTGCTTAGAAACACCAGGAACATCATACTGTTGCCAAGATGAAGCTCGCAGGTGGGACACCATCAACAAAGTCACCTGATCACCACAGAGATGGTGATACACGCGTCAAAAAACCAGACGCGAAGAGCCGAGGAGAAGGCTGAACCAGTCACATACAGGACTGGTCCGACCTGCTGAAAGAGGCGGAGCCGCGAGAAAACGCCCTGCGTTCGGACACCTATCAAGCAGCGTCTGAAAATAAAGCTGGGCTGGCCCCCACGGGACCATAAGGACTACTCTCTTGGGAATGGGCTCCAACCGAGCCAGAAACAGAAGCAACAGTTGGACCAGGAGAAGAGGAACAGGTATCCCCCACCTCGACCAGTCCTGCCGAAAGGCATCCACAGTGAACGCCTCGCAGGCAGGTAACGGCGCCGTCTAGACCACGCCGACTCGAAGATGTCCATGGCCAGGAGTTCATACGTCCTGCAGAGCACATGAAACGAGTCGGCGACGACTGGCCAATCCGCGAACAGAGGAATGAACCAAGACAGGCTTTCTGCCAGGACGTAGGACACACCCCGGACATGAACCTCATGGGTTAGCCAAACCCCGAGAATCCAGCAAATGAGCCACTCTAAGGAACCAACCCCAAAGGTCAAACACCTAAGAGAAACCCTGTGGTTCCAGCAAAGAACCACCAGAGAATAGTCTGAATGGAGCTGAATGGTAGATCACCGAGTGACCCGAACCCTCCAAAGCGCAAACCAGACAGCTATGAACTCCCGAACCTTGCTGTAAGCCTGACGGACAGACAGACCCCACCATCCCCGGCCGACCTGGTGAGCACTGGTCACAAAGCCCTAG